AGGCCGTTAACCATTCTCGTAGCGGCCACTGGACACGCTCAATGAGGGTGACGCCTTTCGTTCGTCCTGACTAGACAACTTGGTTGGCGTATTCCAGGAGCGCTTTGACGTAGGCCCCATAGAGTATTCGGAAGTCCATGCGAGTAATACGGGAGAAGGTAAGTCGGATCATCCGTAAAATGGCGAATGCCTCTTGGGCCGGTTTCTCATGGTGCAGTGAGAAGGTTTGGGAGAAATGCGTGTTGAGCTGGAGATATCAGATTGCTGGAAGTAAAGTGATCTAGGGTAGCTCGCTTCAGAATGCGTTCCATCACTTTGCACGGCGCGCTAGTGAGGCTTATAGGCCTATAGCCGCCAGGCGATAGTCGGTCACCAGTTTTGTAGATTGGCGTGACAATCGCTTCACTCCAAGCAGGGGAAAGGCGGCTCTTGTCAAGCAACTGGCGAAATACCATGTGCAAATTTTTTGTCAGTGTGGAGGACGTTTCCTTCAGGATCCTCGGATGGACCTCGTCGAGCCCCAACGCTCAAATTCGGTTGATCCAGTGCGACAGTTGACGAATGACCTCAACCATGAAGACCAAGTCGGTAAGAGGCTGTTCGTAGTTTCGCCTTGACAAGATTCGATGTGACGAAGACGCTGGGGCTGATTATAGACACGCATATTGTTCTCTGTAAACCTTTCAACTGTGAAAGTCCATTCATGCACACGTCAAACTTTGGTAAATGGTTGGCTGGACCTTGTCGCGTGACGGATGTACGTTGGTGGTTGTGGTATAAAAGGTGGATTCGCAGGACTGCGACCGCATTCCAGCAACAGCAATGGCGGCGGTCCGTGTTACTTCCGGTTTCGATCTTGCGGAGGTTCTCAACGAGATAATTGGTATGGGGCTGTAGCACTTATAAACTGCTCTTTTTCATGCTCAGTATCATCTTTTTCCCTATCAATATCAGTCACATAACTGTACAAAGTTTTTTTTACTGAAATACAACCGCAACCGCCCGCGCGTTGGCTCCAACGTGACTTTGAGACTTTTGCTGAGTGTCTGTTGTTGTGACCGCCGGTTGGCTATATTTGACCGCTGCTAACACTAAACGTGAACAAACATTTCAGCTACAAACGCTGGACTAATATATTCACGCTTGCGATCACCGGGGATTAGGAATACCAGGAAGATAGAACTTTTTTGGTGTGGTGGTTCAACGGAATACGGGACTACGGAATCTCCAATTTTGAACTGTGAGTCAGCATTTATTTGGATTTTCTCCCTGTGACTTTTTGTCTGGCTTACATTAGCAATTTGGTTCTGTTCACTAGAGACTCCATGGGGCCGTTAACCACTACATACTTGGTGAGCACGTACATTTTTTGCTGTGTTCTATTTTTCTCGCTAGCTCAGAATTCCCGCATCTCTCAAGCATGCACTTAGTCCAGTAATTTTTTCAACCATGTCTGACGAAGGCGAACTCAATGCTGAGTTGGTTGAAAACGCCGATCACGTAAAACTGCCAGCTTTTGGAATCAATAACCCTACAACATTGTTTATCCAACTGGAATGTTACTTCCACTTCCGCCAAATTACCTCACAGCAGACCTTGTTTTCTTACATGTTCCTCAGCACCCGACTGAGGTTGCCGCGGGGGTTATTGACCTGATTGATACTGTGTCGGCATCAAATCCCTACAACACACCAAAAGCAGCAATTATTAAACAGACAGCCACACCGGATGAAGCGAATCTGCAAAAATTGCTTGCAGAGATCAATCTGGGCGATCGCACACCTTCACAACTGCCACGGCACATGCAAAGCCTTGCATGACGCAAGTCTTATGACGAGGCAATTTTAGAGCAGTTGTGGTTGCAGTGTCTCCCCTTAAGTGCTCGCCAAATTCTGGCTACCCAATCAGATGTCCCTCTGTCGTCACTCGCTAAGACGGCAAATAAGATCCGCGAGTGCTTCGGTGACCGTTTGATGGCCTGAACCTCACAACAGCCCATTCAGCGCAACGACAACCCTGTTATAGCACTCGTCGATCGAATGCAGGCGCAAATCGATCAACTGGTGGCCACTGCAAACAGGGTGGTCACCCCCGCAACGCGGACTAATACGTCACGCACGTCCCGATCGGTTTCACGTAAACCGACCCCTCCATCTCGGAACTCCAACCGATTTTGCTATTACCACGCACAATTGGACTGGGCCCTACATTGCACCCACCATGCCTCGACCTCCCTGACCAGGGAAACTCACCGGCCGGTCAGTAGTGGCGACAGCTGCCACTACGGAGAGGACTACCGGAATGCGATTTCTCGTCGACACTGGTGCAGAACTAAGCGTCATTCCTGCCGGAAACTCTAAATGCCACACCTCTAACCCACTAACGACATTATAGGCGGCTAACGACACTCGCATAGCTACCTCTGGCCATAAGTCACTGACATTTCACCTGGGTCTTCGCCGTGCATTCTCCGGATCTTCACTGCCACCGACGTTCACGTCCCGATCGTCGGTGCGCATTTCTTGACCAACTTCTCCCTAGCCGTCGATATCAGGCTGCAAAAGCTCCTGGATTCTTTACCGTCGCTTTCCGTCCCATTAATCCTGGTCGACGTCTCATCAAACCCACTCGGTGTTATTCTAATTGGCGAAAGTAAACTTTTGGGCTGCGCCACACCAGGTCGAGCACCACATAAGGACCACTGGTCCTCATTCACTCTCACCCTCGACGACTACACTTTGAGAAGCTGCAAATCGTCAAAGCCGAGTTTGACCACATGCTGCAGCTCGGAATCATTCGGCCTTCAAATTCGTGTTGGGCTTCTCTACATTTGGTCACCAAGAGATCCACTGGTGATCGGCGACCTTAGGCCGACTACCGAGCACTCAATTCTCAACTCGAAGTCTTCGTCGACTTTTGGGTATGGTCAACGATAACGGCAGATTCATTTCACGCTGCTCAGAGACCTTCGCGCCGCTAACCGACCTGCTCAAAGCAAACAACAAACGGTTGCAATTCACTGACCAAGCTATCGTTGCTTTTAACGCAATCAAAACAGCTCTTTTGAAGGTCGCCACACTGGGTCATTTGAACCCCAGTTCTGATTGCCGCCATATACTAAAAACTGACGCAACACCGACCTCTGTTGGTGCGGTCCCTCAGCAGGTAGTCAATGGCAGCACGCAAGCACTGTTTCTCTTCTCGCAAACGGCAACCTGCAAAAACCCGTTACAGCATCATTGGTAGAGAGCTCCTAGCGATCTACCTAGCTGTCAAGCACTTCCGATACACTCGAAGGAAGGAAATCCGCCGCCTATATGGACAACAAACCCCTCATTTTGCCCTGAGAATACCTCAAGACAAACACTCATCGGGAGAGAACCAACATTCGGATTTCATTGCTGTTTACTACTGACATACGCTACATCGAAGGGTCTGAAAACGTCGCTGCAGACGCCCTCTCCCGCACTGAGGTAAACTACATAGCAACGACTCCCATCGGCTCACAAGCGATTACCTCCACTCAGCAATTGGAACCCGAATTTTCAATTTTTTCCAGCATTTCGCCTCTCAAATTTGTCAAACTACCGCTCCTCAACTCTGACAGTTTCATTGTTTGTGACATATCCACAGGAGGCCCAAGACCTTTCGCTCCTGAAAAACATAGACGCTATATATTTGGCCACTTTCACGCACTTTCTCATCCCAGCATACTAGCGACTGCCAAACTAGTTTCACAAAGACGCGTTTGCTCAAATATGCAAAAGGAGATTTGCGCCTGGGCCAAGTCTCGACTGTCAGGAGGGCAAGATTCACCAACATACCATTTCTTCAACCGGCGTTTTTCAGCTTCCTGACACACGCTTTCGAAATGTCCACATCGATCTGGTTGAACTGTTGCCCCACATATATACACACACATATACTCACTTGCGTCGACCATTTCGCACGCTGGTCCATGGCCATTCCGATCAACGGCAGATCTGCCGAAAACGTTGCTAGAATATTTGTCGATATCTGGATCGCCACATTCGGTGTACCCGCTACCATCACCATTGACAGAAGTCCGCAATTCACATCAAAACTTTTTCATGACCTCAAACGGCTACTGGTACGGATAATTTCTCAACAACCACATACCATCCGGCAGTCAATTGTGTGGTCGAACGCTTCCATCGACAACCCAAGTCATCCCTGATCGCCTCCTCTAGCACACACCGATCGGAACGCTTCTCACCTAGTCTTCTCAGTATACGCAATACTGTCAAAGAATACTTGGATTGCACAGCCCCTGAACTTGTCTTCGGCACTACCTTACGTCTTCCGGGTGAAATGATCGTCAACTCTGCAATAACTGGTGAAACGGATCCTAAGTACTACGCTTCCCGGATTTGCCAACACATGCGTGATATCTGTCCTCCACCAAATCGACAGACCTCCAAGCAAACTCAGGTACATCCCGATCTTGCTGCACGTGAATATGTTTTTGTGCGCGTCGATTGGGTCAGAAAGCCCTTACAACCGCCATACGAAGGGCCTTTCAGAGTTATTTCTCGGAAAGACAAAACTTTTGCCACTGATCGTAACGGCTGCAAAGACATAGCATCGGTCGAATAGAAGTTGCTTACATACACGCACGACTAACCTCCGATGAGGAACACACCACGAGGCCCTCCGTTACACCATCACACACTCATGCAATTCACCTTCCGACCAATGACACCACCAGTACCACACACACCATGACTCACAAGATCTGGCCGACGTTGCAAACTTTCTATTCGTTTCAAAGGCTAACTAATGTGGCGCATTTCCTTTTTGAGCGTCTAGTTGCTTCCATTTTAGTTTTCCCGTTCTTCGCTGCAGAAGACGAATTATGAGGTTCATCATTCGGAAGGAGTATATTTTGGGGAGAGGGCAAGCAGTTGAAATAGGAGTCTTCTGCATCTTCATGGACAGGAGGCTCGGAAGGGGTGGACATGAGGTGCGGAAGGGGTGGACATGTTACGGAAAGATATGGTGAGCTACAAAATCTTCCGTACACAAAGTGGTGTTCATCAAGTGCGCCCCCTCTCCACTCCCACTTAACTTCATGATCAAGGAGATAGTGAGATGAACGC